AAACTTGTAAAGTGAGGATAGAAAACTGCTTGGCTTCTGACATTCAGAGGGAAAATATGTGAGGAGATATGCCTTAGGCAAGACCTAATTTACTGCTAGAAGGCATGTGTGGAAAAAACCCCAAAAGCTTGATGAGATCCGTTTGTCATTTAGCAGTGCCCCAGACATAGCTAAGTCGCATTTGGAGCTCAAATTTTCTCTAGTTTCATTGCAGGAGGAAGGGCAAAATGAGGGATGACTGGGAAACGGCAAGCCAAAATCATTAGTCATGCATCACTAACAGCTAAGAATATTATAGCAAATTATTTCAGTTATAGGTGCCTACTGCAGAACCAGACAGAGCCACCTGGCACACACAGCAATTTTGTGCATTTCAAGTAAGAGCAGTCTTTTTCCTCCAAGATAAGTGTATTGACTTTCTCATTTCATTTTTAAAGTGCTAGTACACTGTCAGATACATGCTTGTCTCAGCCATGCAGGCTAAAATTTCCAGGTAGAGAAGAAGAGAACAATGAGATATAACTGATTTTACTGCAGGATTGCTACACAGCAGCCATGGACAAGACAAGACCCATATACACCTGGGGTTTGTATCCCACAATACTAGTTTTCAGCTGTCACTTTATAGTACAGGTTTTTACAACAGAAATTACATGCCTTCATATGCTTGAAAATTCCTTGTGTACACAGAGATGCCCCTCATTCCAACAAGTGCTAGTAGTCACTGACACTGTGGGAGTTTCAGCCTGCTTTTCCTCAGCACTGTGCCTGCAAAGCAGACACAAGCAGTGCAGACAAACTCTTCCCCAGCCTTTGCCATGCTGCGTTTAACCTGGGTAGTCTTGGAATCAATGAGATTTGGAAATGAGTTCTAGTGTCCCTTTGCTCACAAGGGTCCTCATTGAAAAGGAGCCAGCCGTGAAGGTCCCTTGCTACCTTCTCAAGTCTGAGGCAAATTTTGGAGACTGGCATTGTATCACCCCATCACGGCATCTCACACATGATGTGATTCCAGCAGGTGAGTTGAGAAGTCCAGGCATAAAGCACCAAACTTGAATTATTCTGAAACAGAGGTGCACAGATCCAAAGATTAACCACCAAGTTTTGCAAAGAGTAGCTGGTCTCCTGTATGTCAGTGTCCAGTAATTATGAAAACAGGCACAGAGCTGCACTCAAAAAGGTCAAATAGAATCACTCAATGATTTGAATTCCCTGTGAATAAGGGAATTCCTTATGAATAAGTGCAGGTGTTGATTTGAAAGAGAGTAGGGATAGGAAGAGACGAAAAGGGCCAAAAAACATTCATTACCAGAGGGTAATGAAAATTTAGCTCATAGTCTGAACCAGTATTGCAGAAGGACTCTGAGAAATACGTGCAAAAAACACATCTGGGCAGCAGAGGAGTTTTTATGGTGATGAGCAGATAATGTTTTAATTGCTTCCTCCTGTTCACAAAAAAAAGGCTTTGTAAGAACACAGGATACATCCCTGATATCTCCTCCTTTCGGGAACAGCTTGGGACACTGTGTTTCTGATTCATTCACATGGACCGGAGTCAAAATGGCAACATTTGTGGTTATCAAGTAGAGGATTATTGTTTTGTTCATCACTAACCTCCAAAAGAATGGCAAAAATAATTTCAAGAAAGGCTTAATTCTTTTTTTCTTTGTCCTCTTCTAACAGAGAGCAGAGCTGGAATCTGGAGAATTTTTAAAAGCTGTTTCTGTTTCCTAGTGTGCTGTGACTTTAGGTCCTGTAAGAACAGTGTGCCTACTGGAACCATGCCATTACAAGGGTACGTGGTCAGTTTGGACTATTTTTGTAGGACGACAGAAAGATTTGATGAATTTTCAGTGTTTGTTTTGGCTTAAATTCTTCATAAAGGTTTGGTCAGAAAAGTCAAAGGAGTTAGCTGGGGCACTTTAAACTTTATATCAACATCTGGTATCTTAACCAGCATCAACAAAAAACTGACTGCGGAGAAGATGAAAGCTCTCAGTAGTGAAGGACCGATCTGGGTAGCCTCTGAATGCAGATTCCAAAATGGAGGAGATAAACAAGGCAATTCCTCATTTTGCTGAAGTGCAGATACACTTGCTGATAGAAGGCAGTATATTAGAATTTTGTGCAGTGCCTGCACACATATGTCTGGTTGTGTACAAGTACTCATGAGCTTAACCTCTCAATGCCACCTGTCCAACTCACAAAAAAAAATCTGGGATCATGCAAAATCTGTTACAGGGGGCTTGGGAGTGGCCATGATTTCAGGGTATGTGCAGGTGAATATGAGGATGCCACTGATGCCATGATGATTTTTTACCTTTTCTTTTCTATACCTTTTTTATTACATCCATGTATCCCCAGTGCTCTTAACGTGCATACTTGTAATCCCTTAAATTTGATAACTTATCATAGTCCTGTTAGGCCAGAAAACCAAACATCCTAGAGGCCTTGCAGTTGGAGGCCAGAAAGTCCTACACTATCTTCAGAAACCAAAGTCCTCTCTAAAATACAGACTGTAAACTAAGGATTAAGTCCATCCAGGGAATTCTTCAGGATGGAATGGTATCACACTATTTATTCGAAACCCTCATTAGGGCATCTTTATCAGATTTGCTAATTTGCAAAGTCTATAAAAATACTCAATCTATCAGGAGTGTACATTTTGGCATGCTTCATCATGGCAAAGTGTTGCACCATAAAAATCCTTATTAACTATTGAGATAAAAATCCTTTATCCCTTAACCGTGTCTGGCTCTCAATTTTAGGACCAAAAAAAAGGCATCACCTCAGTTCAGGAAAGAAGGCAAATGTGACATTTACTCCTGGACTGTAGGTCTGAAAAAATGAAACAGCTTTTGCAACTGTAAATAAATGTGGGCATAACAGCATAGCATTTTCATTGCACATCCTAGTGGTGTCCAGCATTCAAAATGAGTATTTCTACTAAAAGTTTAAACTGACAATGAGCATTTTATAGTATATTTAGTTGTGCTTACTGCAGTATAGCTCTAAGGCCAAATACAGTTTCCATGTGAGTAAAAAAATCTGCTAAAGAATCAAGTCCACTCTCATCCAGTGAGACGTTTGTATTCCATTGCAAAAGCTCCAAATGGGACTCACTAAGCAGAAACGTCTGATATTCCTGATTCTTACAGTTTCATTTGTACAGTTCCTCAGTGCTTTGGATACTTCAAGATAGATTGTGAGACACCATAAGCAGGCCTGGGGACATAAAAAAATTCAGTTCATAAGAAGTATTTATGTAGAAATACCGTTTCCTTTCTAGAATCCAGCCACAGGAATCACAAGGTCCTTGTGTTTTCTGGTCCATTATCATGGCAAACCAGGCATCCTCGTCATGCAAAGTAAAATAGAAGGTAAGAAGAAGTTAAGTTATTTTGGGTCTTTCCTCATAAATTAGAAAGCAGCAAGATTGTCTTTCTCCATTTGATTTTAAGAGCTTTATTTACATATCATGCTGAACACAGCCAGTCAGCAGCTCTGTATCATATTGAACCACTACTGAGCAAAAGGAGGCAGAATAACAGCAGCAAAGAAAGTGTAGTGGAAAGCCCTGACATGTACCAGTGTACAAATTTATTATTTGAGTATGTATGCATCAAAGTTCCATATGTGTCAACTGATGAGCAAGCAACTGATGTATGTGAATTTTACACCAACTGTAGTGCTTTAGTTCCAAGTGTGAGCCTGAACCAAACCTGCAAGCAGCTACTGTGGCATGTAGGGGGTTGCCCAGCCTTGGTAATGACTCGTTCAAGCCAAGTAAAACATTCCTCAAATGGATGAAGCCTGTTAGGAAGCACTGAAACATGTTAAAAACACAGTCTCGGTGGGTTTTCAGTAGTTTGCAAAAGAGTGAAAAATTTTGAGGGCATTAATTGCAATTAAGTTTCTCCTGATGTAGCAGTTTCAACACTCACGAGTTCTGCTTTAGGATGTCACGTCAATTCAAAGTTCAGTGACCACTATTCAGTGGTCAAATTTCTCCTATCTGTTCCAGACACCTTTTTTACAATGGTAGAGAAAAGAACTGCATGAGGCCACACAACCATCTCTTCCCTATTTCAGAGGATTTCAAGACTTTCAGACACAAATTTTATTACATTATTATTATTATATGTTCAGAAAATTAATCAGTTTTTCTGTTTATCACTGTGGCTTATCCAATGGCCTAATTAGCTGTGAGAACTGGGTCTCTAATCCCTTGTCTGGCTCTGACCTTGAATGACTTTGGGTAAAAAAAAAATTATTTCTCAGCTTGCTTTTATCCATCAGGAAGATACTAATGTTGAATTTTTTTTTCTTTCTGGCTTTAAAGGAAGTATCACCTATGAATTCTTCTGGTGTATGGGAGAGAAAGAGTAAGAAATTCAATTACAACAGGCTCCATCCTTAGAGACAGAAAGATTCATCCACCCCAAAACCTTATAAACCTAACAAATCTTTCTTTCTCATTCTGCCTGTGGAATAACAGCATGTGGGTTTGAGAAACAGTATTGTTTAAAACCAGGACAGTATAAGTTACTAATTATCAAGATAAAACTAAGAAAATAATATTTTCTACTGGTGGCCATGACCTTGTAAAGGACATTCAAATTCTGTTATATATCTCTTTGCACATACAGACAGAATTGCCACATCCTAACCACTGAGAGCCTGATCATCTTACATGTGCAGTATTTGATATATTTGCAGAGGAGACAATCAGCAAAATTCCCATCTTTATACATATATAATACAGATGTTTTCTACACACTGCTACACACTGCTACACACACAGGCATATTCTAGAATAATTCCAAAAGTACCAAGGCTTTTATCTATACTTGTGGGAGGATGGATTGTGCTGAAAGTGATCTTGCCCCTGATAAATTGCAGCTGTGTTAATCACCAAAGAGTGGGAACAGCCTTGGCCTCACAGCTATGTCCAATAAGGATGGGAGTTATAAAAGAGTGGATTAGCTAGTTGAGAGGCAGCTGGAGTCTGCTGGCTGTGCTGTGAGGGGGGAAGGGTCAGGCAGCCATGTAAGGGACTGAAAGGGTAAGATGCTGTACAAGGATAGATAGGGTCTGGTAGCTGTGCTAGGGACAGGAAGGAGTTAACTGGTCCTGCAAAAGGAAGAGAGAAGGAAAGAAAGAGCCGGTGCCACATGGAGCTGCCTGTGGCAAGATTACAAAGAACAGGTATGAGAGCTTTTAGATAACAAGAGGCTGATGCTTGGAACCTTCTTTGGCATCAACACCAGCTCAAGGCATGTGCTGTCATATATTGTGCCCTTGGTCTTAAGATACAGGCCTTAATGCAAGAAAGCAGGAAATAACAGGATTACAGTTTTAATTTTGCCCTTCAAGTCTACAAAGGTGGAGAAGACACCACACAAAAGGCACCATGTGCACTCAGGGGACATTTGTCTGAGTAATGCTTAATAATAAGTAATAGAAAAAAGTTTATTGAGCTGTTTTTTAACTGAAGTGTGGTGAAACAAGATGATTAGATCAAGGATTTCCATGATTAAGCATAGAATCTTGCAGGTCCCACTGAAATACCCAACATGCAATCTGTATTTTATCAAATGCATGGGGAGAAGCTCCTGTAGCAGGTCACTCTTGTCTAACAGGATAAAACCTAGTACAGCATCATAGTGTTCAGAGTGAGGACAATTATCCTCAGGAGGAACCACAATCTCACACAGAAATGAAATATTTCTAGCCAGCCAAGTTACTAGCTTGCTCTTCTAAGAACTGAAAGGGAGCAACTGGTGGTCTGTATCTTGCATATGGGTGAAATAATTGCCATTTGCATTTAAAATTGTTGGTGAAAAAACAAAGTAGTAAAACGCACATTACTCACTGCTCCAGTCTGTGCACTGTTGCTGTGAAATGCTGGCAGGATAGGTACAACTCTGCCACCAGAACTAGACTGCTATGAACACTCAAAGACATGCTTTCATGGTTTGGTAGTGAGTATTATGACAGCTGCAAAGTGCTCTTCAGGTTTTTGTCATCTGTGGTATACTTGCAACCTTTTTGCATGGTCATTGACGGCCCACCTGTTTTCACAGGCAGTGAGGTCATTGGCTCCCATCAAAATGGTCCTCAAAATTATCTCCATTTTCTCCTACAGCTTATCCAATTCACAGGTATTGCTTGTTGCCACTGGAATTTTAGACTTTTGGATCCAGGTTATCTTCCCAGTAGGCACTGTCTATGAAACCGCATGTAACTAAAGGAGAGCTGGATGTGAACCAGGTGGTCAGAAACGAACGCCTTTGTACCAGGAACAAAGGGTGCACGTAAAGTGTCAAGCAGAGGCTGTATAATGCAATTATAAGCAGAAATAGATATGTATAATGCAATTATAAGCAGAAAAATAATGCAATTGGCATGGGAGTGAGGTGGTGCCAGGAATGAGGTTGGCACTTCCTCCTTTCAATACCTTCTGGTTCGTTTCTGCCTTTCCTTGATACTTAAGGTGCTCTGGTGTGGACACTCATGGCCTTCAAACCAACTGAAAAGGTATTTCACCAACATAAGCATTTAAGAATTTTGGTGCTGAGGCAAACATATGGAAGCTGTGCTCTAAGACAGTGGAGAAGATAGAGGTGTTGGATTGGCAAAGGGAAAAGATGAAGGAATGCCATGTGCACAGCAGATAGATAACTTAGAGAAAACAAAAGCAGGTGGGAGAATGCAAGAAAGATGGTGCTATTACCATGGATGGAATCCAGGGAAAGGCCAGGAAGTCATAGTAAGAGAGGCAGAAACAAAATGCATTACATATGTCCTCTGTGCATGTGAACCAGGGAAGGAACATGGCCATGTTGCAGGTCTTTCACTCCTTTCAAGACTGGCCTGCCTCCATGGAGTGGCAGGAAGCCAATGATGACATGACGAAAAGTCCTCATGGTGTGGACAGACCAAGACACTTGTCTGGAGTACAGGGCCTCGAGCGGCAACCACGTGAGAAGTGGCTGAGGTCCCTGGGTCTGTTCAGCCTGGATGAGACTGAGGGGAGACCTTGTTGCTGTCTACAACCTCCTCATGAGGGGAAGAGGGGGAGCAGACACTGATCTCTTTATCTGTTATGACCAGTGACTATAGCTGAAGGCACAGCATGAGGTTTTGTCGGGGGAGGTTTAGACTGGACATTAGAGTTTCCTAACCTAGAGGGTGGTTGGGCATTGGAACAAGCTCCCCAGGGAAATGGTCACAGCACCAAGCCCTAGAGAGTTCAAGAAGCATTGGAAAATGCTCTCAGGCACATGGTGCCATTCATAGGGCTGTCCTATGCAGGGCCAGGAGCTTGACTTGACGATCCTTGTCACGTTCCTTCCAACTCAAGCTATGCTGCGATCCTGTGAGTGGAACAGAACACAGCATTCCGTGGGCATCATCTTTACAGAGCTAGAGTTTAACTGAAGGACACTTCTAGCAGTCCTATGCAGGCCTGACAAAGGCGGGACGCGGAAAAAAAAAACCACGGAGAGACTCCAGCCCTGTGTCTGAAGTCGCAGCTCCCCAAATCTGGTAGAGAATGAGTAACGCGATTAGTGATGGAACGCCGGCTTAGGACACGCGCCCAGCTCTTCTCTGCCCCTCTTTCTCCGCTTCTTTTACATAAAAGATCTGATTAATGCGTGTCCTTCGGGTCAGGCCGGTGCTAGGTTCCGTTACCTTGGTCGCTTCCTTGCCCCAGGCGGCCCTGGCCCGGCAGCCCGCGCGGGAGGGCCGNCTGGGTGCGGGGAAGCGGGGCCCGGGGCAGGAGTGTGCGGGCAGCCTGCCTGCCCCTTACGAGGGGTGGTTTGTGTTCTGGCGGCCCCGGGATCTGCTCGTTTTACTCTCGGTTTTGCCTTGCGGCCGAGGAGGCCGGTGCTGGTGTAGTAGTGGCATGTTTTGAGGCCGCCGGAGAAACGTGTTCTGTGTGCTGCTTGCCTCTGGTCCTGTTGTGTTCACCGCCGTGGAGGAGTTCAGTGGGTAGTTAGTCAGAAGGAGCAGGGTGGAGGAAGAGATGGAAGCTAAGAAAGGAATTCCTGCAGGAAGAAAATGGGAGTAGGAAACAAGGTGAGAAAGTTGCTCGGCTTTTCCGCGCTTGTTTACCGGCCGGTAAAGTGTTTGAACTAGTATTCTAGAAAACCAGGGGTTGTCATCTGAAAAGGCAGTATTCTGCAATGTTAGGAACTTAATTCAATATTGTCTTCATTTTCTCTTATCTAATTTATCATTTCTCCGTTTCATCTAATCTTAAAACATTTTGACAGAAACATAGGAGAATTCGGTATTTATGGCTCATATGGCTGGCCTCTAGTTAGTAGCTTGATTTTAGGCAGTGTTGTACATGTGGTGGGTTTTTGGTGTGTGTCGCAGTACTTTGCAGACTTCTTGTTTGTGCAGGTGTGTGCATCTCTATCAAAGAACTGTCTTCCCCGAATCCACTAACTTTTTTCGATTATTTACTTTTTAAAGCTTAGTAGGACTGCTGCTTTTTCTCCCCTCCCTTCCCCCCCACCCCCCGCATTTCTGGTTTCCCAGGAGGGTGGAGATGGATTTCTTTATGGTTAAAGACGTAGTTTTTAACTAAAATGAAATGATCATCACAAAGTTGCTATTGGTGGTGATGTGGTAGGATTATGCAGTCTGTAAGTATCTGCTGTCATGCATGTATTCATAATACTCTCTTTAATGTACAGTAGTGGAATACAGGCTTTTCTAACTTGAACAGGTCGAAATTACGGAAGTTTTATCATAGTGACAAGTGATATATGTTGTTCTTTAGTAGTTTTCAGTGATAAGTGCACAGACTATGTGATGTGTGTTAAAAAGAGTGTCAGCTTTGTCTTTTTGTTAAAATAGAATTTGAAAGTAGGTTTTCTTGTATTTTTTCTTATGGAGACTATAGCATGAATTTTCCTGTTAAATGTTTGTGGCAGGGAAAATTACATTTCCTGTCTTTGAGAGTTGTTGGTGTTTTTGAAGGAGTGACTGTTAATGAAACTGGGCTTAATATTCTCTTTCCAAAGCAGATTAATTTAGACACACCTAGTTAGAAAAAAAGAGATAATTGCTTAATTAATTACCTAATTGGTAAGCAAGTGTGAGTTTTGATAGTTTTGGATCCTGGATGTAGACTTTTCAGGTGTATGTGTGAACAAATAATGATTCCTGAAACCATGAGAACACTGTGAGATTAAAAATGGCAATTAGTGTATCCTTGTGATTTTTATTTTTTTTTTTAGCTAGTCTGTGTCTTAATTTCTCAATGATTCTCCTCTTACTTCATGCTTCAGATGTGTTATTTTAAGCAACTTTAGTAACAGGGATAGAATAACACATATTAGTATGGGAGGGATGGTTTTCCAACTTTATGGAGAAGAGGTTTGGGGCCTTGATTTTGGTAGAATTCTGGAAATCCATAGAAACCATATACTCAAAAAGAAAGGCAATTTTTGCTTCAGAACAGTGAAAGGTTATTCACAGGTGACAGTTTTTGATCCAGTATGAGCAATTTGGGGATGGCTGTCTTGGAAGAATATGGTTATAGGGAAAAAGCAAACTTTAATCATGTTTATGTGAAATTTTTTTTCTGTGTACTTTTTTTAAAATGGTCCATACACAAAGTTACAAACAAGATTTATTGATATTTCTTGACAGAATCGGGATGCTGTACCAGTTTTATGGTGGAAGAGTGTTCATCTGGATTTGTAAATGCGGGAGAGGTTAGAATTCTAAAGGCTTAGGACTTACAGTAGGCTATAAAGCATCTGATGGAGATTTATGCTTACTTTCCATTTGGCTTTCTTTGACTGCTTCTTTGGTATAATAATCTTTGCAAAACAATTGTTTGTGGTACTTTGGTTAGTTGGTTCTGTTGTTTTTTTAAAAGTGAGATTTTGTTATCCTTCACAAAGAGTTTCACCGTAGCTGCCTTATCACTGTGCTCTCATTTCAACATGAGGTGCAGACTGCTATTTCTCCTAAATCCAGGAAAATGGGCACCAACTAGAATTTGAATTTGTTACTTTTTTGGATGTGTTTATTCAGTGTTCAAGAGACTTCCTTGGTAATGCTGTCAAAAGTTAAGTATTTATCCCTTGGTATTACTAGGCTCTTCTAATTTTTCAAAACCATTTTTGTTCTGTGATTTGGTGTTAATAGGCTAGTTAAAAGCTTTGCCTTTGGTTTTGTAG